TAAAACTTTTTATGAGTTATCAGTGTAAAATAAACTATTATATTTATGTTTTATATAAGCTTCATGGTAACCACAAGACAAACACCTATACTAGATTTACAAAAATACAGAAATTAATAAAATCATACTATTTTGAGAGATCAATTCATAAAGGAAAACAGCATGATGAAAAAAGAATAAAGGAACTAAAATTCAGAAAATAATTAGATGTCATTACTATGTCCTTACCTATCAATAATTAATTTATTCCAAATGGATTGAATTCTCAAATAAAAGACACAGAATGACTAGCTGGACATATAAAAATACTCATTTAGATGTTGCCTAAAAGAGGTCCACTTCAGATGTAAAAAAACACATGGGCTCAAATTGAAGGGATAGAAGATATTAATGCAAGTGAAAATGGAAAGAGATCAGGAATAGCTATATTTCTGTCAGACAAAATGGGCTTTAGGTCTAAACAGTAAAAAGAGAATGAGAAGGTCACCATTTGATGAAAAAAGTGTCAATTCATCAAGAAGATACAACAATTGCAACACTTAACATCTGAGCACCCAAATATAAGAAGAAAATACTAACAGTTCTGAAGGGGAAAACAGACAAAATACAATAATAGTAGGGGATTTCAATATCCTACTTTCAACAAGGAATATAACATCCAGGCACAAAATCAAAAAGGAAATATTGGAAATATTTTAGATCAAATGGATTAAACAGATATGAACATCCCATTCTCTAGCAATATAATACGTATTTGTCTTAAATGTGCATAGAACATTCTATAACATAGATGCTATAACAGGTCAAAAACAAGTTTTAGCAAAATTAAGAAGACTGAAATCACACTAAGTATGTTTCCCAATCACAATGGCATGAAACTAGAAATCAATAATAGGAAAATTCACAAATATGTGGAAATTCACACAGTTTTGAACAAAAGCTGGGTCAAAGAAGAAATCAAAATTCTTGAACAAATGAAAAATGGCCTCCATTGGTGCTGTCCAATGTGCAGGTCTCTATTTGCTTAAGATTTTGAAATGACTAGAGCTGCTCATTTCCACAAATACCCAGGGTGCAGTCTGCACCCTTTACTTACAGTAAGGCCCAGCCCTACAGCTGCTAAACCTTGAGGGTTTCACTTTATCTTGATAAAGGAGGATGGAGGAAGGAAGGAAATGTGGGAGAGATGGAAGGAGAGAGGAAAGGAACAAGCCCTCGTGTCTTCAGAAAAAGTGACCTCTCTCTTGTGAGTCAGGCTACAGGCATTCTCCAGTTGGAAGTGGCATAGAAACTACTGCTGTCCCTTTCCAACCTAGCGTTTTGATAAAGAGGGGTTAGATAACCTTAAACAGAAGAGTTCTGTGAAAGGTGTGGTAAATATTGTTATTTCACTACAATATAATTCCTCTGCTTTGGGATGCTAACCCAGAGTGGCTGAAGTGCAGGTGGGGAGGCCCCTGGCCCACACTGAATCTGAGCGGGTTTCCATCTAAGAGGCCTCTGCAGAGAGAAAGCAGGGTCTGCAGAGAATAGGTGCTGGGTGGGGGGGTCCTCCCCAGTGTGGGCAGGATCTTTGGGTCTATATAAACAACAGCCTCTCCAGTGGATACACTAATCCAGGCTTTGACCTTGTTTTCCTTCCAAAAGTTAGGGACTGTATGTTCTTATGTGGCTCATATTGTACTGAGAAAATGAGTTCAGATGTTAGCTTTCTGTTTTCTTTTCTCCTAAGAGTGACTGGACACCTGACAGGGAGCACAATCACATGGTCTTCACGTCTTTTAGAAGCTGAATTTCCCGGGCTTACTCCCAGGAGAATTGGTTATAAATCTGGTAACTATTGATTCAACGCTCATTGATGTTGAACTTCCTGAGAAATTTAAATATTAAAACACACCATCACGACTCGGACTAAGACAAAAGCTAACCAGATTAGTCTTTCACGGTCACCTTTTCTTTAGGATTAGGAATGAAAAAAAGCCAAAGAACAGACTCAGAAATAACCTCATTCCCCAATGTGTCATGAGAGGCCAGAGCGCTCAGGGGCAAAGGTCAACAGCAAACGCCAACTAGTTGCTGGCTCATGTTCCCATAGGCCTGCCAATGCCAGAGGCAATGTTGTTCTCAAGCAGTTCTGACCTTTCGTGCCGGCTCATTCTCAGGAGTTCTGCTGCTTGTGAGGCTTGCTCAAGGGCGCTCAAGTTCAAGTCTTCCGCGTGTTTGGAGAGGATACTGAGCATTTCTGAACTTTTGAGATATGGGGTTAGGGCCTCATGCAATGAGACTTTAAAATCATCTTAGCCACGGGTTGTTCTGTTGCAGGCCTGGGCAGCCGCACCTTCCATTTGCCGCCTGGGGTTGATGTGCGTGGGCTGTGAACCCGAGTCCTCTCCTACCTGCCCTCCCCCCCACCGTGAAATTTCGTATGCTAATTAGGAGCTTGCCAAAATCACAGCAGCTTTCCTCCCTGGGGTAAATTTAGTTTTTAGTTGTTTAAAAACACACCCTGAAATTTCGGAACATCGAGTGACCTAGAAATCAGCTCAAAGGTCACTCACTCTGTTCCCCACTTCACAGAACACAGGCTTTTCCGTGTTGGTTTCCGCTGCCACCTCAGACTTTGCTTTTGTCTGAGAAGATCTGGAGCTTCCAAAGTGTTTTGGGGAGAAGCAGACCTACAGAAGTTTGCCCTATTCTGTGAGGACAGGAAATCAGCAAGTGTAGATCTTTCTGACAAAAATGGTCAGTTTTTGATGCAATTTGCTCGAATATTGATACTCATAATCTTCCCCTAGGAGAGAATCGGTCAGTGTTTCCATTAAATCTTGCTTACCCTGACGGCACTGATTGTGCCTAAGGAGCTGCAGGTGGTTCTGCCTCTGACACAAAAAGAAATCAGAAGATGAGGGGTGATGGCAGGGGTGCACAAAATTCCTGTTTTGCAGCCATTTACAATGTCTTGTTGGATGAAGAACCTTTGTCTCAATGCTGTTAACACCAACCCACCACCATCATTTATGCAGACATATTGTCTGCTCACTTTATGTTCATCCCAGTATATTCTCATAATGACTCCAAAAGGTATAGATTATGATGATTCCCATTTGTCAGATAAAGAATCAGAGACTTTGGGAGGGAATGTAGTGAAACCGATCATTGAGCTTTAAGCCGTTTGTCTGCAGGCTGGGCCCTAAGCATAAGCAGTAATTGGCCTCCATTGGTGCTGTCCAATGTGCAGGTCTCTATTAGCTTAATATTTTGAAATGACTGGAGCTGCTCATTTCCACAAATACCCAGAGTGCAGTCTGCACCCTTTACTCACAGTAAGGCCCAGCCCCAGGGCTGCTGTACCTTGAGAGTCCTGCACACTCACATGCAGTTCCAGTTTGAGAAGCGCTGCTCTCTGGTATGAGAGAGAACACCCTTTTCTCTCCTTTCCCCCGCCCGCAATCACAGCCAGTAATCCTAAATTCTTCAACAGAAACAGTTACAGAGAAATCAAAATGTCTCAAAATACCTTACTAAAAAGTACTGGAAGCTGTAGGAACAGAAGCATGGGAAAGATTTCTTAGCATCCTTGAACTGCTTTTAAGCAATTAAACAAAAATTTAAATTTTTTTAAAAGACTTTCAGCATTCACAGTAACATAGAAGTTAAATACACACAGGCCCAACAGAAACCCAGAGGCCCGAGTATTTCGGGAGGGTTCCTGGGTCTTGCCCTGGGCGGAGAGATGCCTCCCAACATGGCTGGGAGCCCTCCTGTGGCAGAAGCCTTGTTGCTCCAGAGGAAAAGTGAGAACCAAGCTGTCAACAAGCTCTGTTCCTGCCAAACCACATTTGTCTGCCTGCCAGCCAGGCATCTAAAAATGCATTTGGGAATTTTGACTTTTACTGAATATGAAATTCTACTGTGTATATATAGTCTTGATAAGTTGACCCAGCTTAGGGATAATGCTATTTTCTGTCTTACAAGATTCAGAATCCATTTCTAGAAGAGACAATAACGAGGCCGGTGAAAGGATTGAAGGGACTGCCTCTCCTTGCACCCCCCCACAGTCCAGTGTAGCCCCCCACTTCTGAAATTCCATTCAGGTTGTCTAAGCAACGCACCAGCACAGTTCGGGGTAGGTGCTGGGATCCCTGCAGGGAATCATCAGGCTTTGTCACCGGCTGTGGAACCTGTACTTGGGCAGCGTGACTTTATGCTCCCTTACTAGGGCGATATCAAAAATAAGATTTAAAGAAATGGAGTGTCACTAAATACTACCTGCCACTTCTGCCTGTTTTTAAAGGTAAATTATTCAGGCTGAGCCTTCATTTTAGCAGAACAGCATCGAATTGTGCTGTCATTAGCAGCACTGCCTTTCTGTGTCCTGAAGTCAATCCCAGTCTGAATGCTGATGCTAGCACTAAGGCAAGGTCCTTACTTGGGGCCATTGAAAAAAAAATTGTGATTTAGTCTTTGTAATGTTTACATTTGTCACTTAATAGCTGCACCCGGGCTGGCATATTCTCGATGTAGGATGAGCCCAGCTGTCCCCAGCCTCCTCTGGAGCCCGGGCGAGGCTTGTGTGGGCACTTGGCCTGAGACAGGTGCCCAGGGCAAGGATTCTCACACACCACTCAAGTATGCCTTCCTCCCAAGTCAGTTTTCTGGTGGCTTTATGAGCTTCAGAGTAATAATGGTTAATGTATTTACCATGATGGCCTCTTAGACTTTGGAAAAAAGCAAAACCAGGTTATTTCCCCGCACCCCAATGCATTTATTTCTACACCCCTTCCATGAATTATTTAAAGGCAACTGAGTACAGAGCCCCAGTCCATTTTCTGTTTTAACCAAAACCATGGGCATGCCTAACTTGTACCCAGTTTGCCTCTCCTCCAGTGCCCTCCCCGAAGTCAAAACAACAGGACTGTAATCCTCTGGAGGCCAGAGCAGCTGATTCCTCACTGAGGGAAAAGTCACACCCGCAGGCACTTCAGTCCCATCTTCCTGGGGCTGAAGAATTTCAGAACATTCACAGTTTAAAATATTTTATTTCTTTTTAAGTTCATACAAAATACAGCAATGTACAAAAATGTACATAACATTTTCCACTCGGTTTACATTTTAAAAAAGGACAACTCTAATTTCAAATACTTCTGCTTCCATGTCAAGTAAACACAGGTCCGAGTCCATATTATTTATGGAAATTGTGTGCACTTTTGGAGATGGTCATGATTGTATAGGTGCTTTCAGGTTGAAAGTTAGATCTGCCCAAGCAATTTCTCGAGTTGCACGCGTGACCTCGATAGGCCCGTTCAGGACTGTGAGGCTGCAGATGTCCAGTTTCCTAGGTCCATACGCATCTGTGTAAATTTAAGAGTCTATCTCAGCCAACTACATTTTCCATGAAGGATCGTGGTGGAAAAACGTGGCTACCCACAGGGCACAGTCCACTTGGGAAAGTGATCAAAGCTGTTGTGCAGTGCCCGACACAGATCACAGTAATCTGGGGCTGCCGTGTTAGTCACCCCGGGAAGAGGTGTCAGTGTGCACAATTTGAGTGTATAAAAATTTGAAACGTATGTATAGCCAGTCTTTTGACAAAATGTGCCTTTTAATACATTTTGAGGGTCAAGTGTGTATGTGTGGGGGGAATAAAGGAAGGGAACCCATAGAAGGAAAAACAGCTCTGCCAAACACATGGGCTTCAACATCTAATACAGACTTGTCCCTCCCTATTGATTTAACCAAGTGATACTGGAGAAGAACATCATGGAGGTGTTGACCTTACTGTAGAAAATACCAGAACCCGGGGAGTACTGTGTCAGGAAGACCCATCTTGAAGGCAAAATAGAATTTAGATTACAACCAGCTTTTTACAAAGCAGTTACGTTTGTGGTGTTCAACTATAAATATTCCACCAAAAGTATCGAGGTGTCCCCCTTAAGGAAACCGGCATCTTTATGATCAGATTAAGAATTTCTTCACAAAGTTAATCAAAAACTTTGAAATTTGTCTTCCCTTGAAAATCTGATTGGTTGTGGATACTGGATCCTATTCTGTCTACTGAAAATGAAGCATCCCCAGAAAGAATCAGCTTCATTGGCAACATGGCCATGCTTGATTCTAACAGACTGACACCTTCATCCTGTAAGGGAATCCAAGTTCAACCACATTATCAAATGCTTAGTGATCTGCGGTTGGAAGATTGCTCCCAGCACATCCCAGTGTGCTATTCATGACCTGACACTGCCCTGAGGTTTGTCCAGGGTTAGAAACTCCATACCTAGGAGCTGCACCCAGGTGGCTACACACGCTGTAACAGATTATCCTCCGCCACCCAAGCTTTGCATCAGAACGACACAGGACAAAAATCATGCTGCTGCAGAGACAGACATGGCTGACCCTCCCCTTGGCAGTGATGAATAATCTTCTGACTTAAAACTGGCAACCAAAGGGAAGAAATCGAATTATTAGCTCACAATGTATTATAGCTAGCAATAAAAAATATTAACTCTTCAGTTCGAAATTTAATTTGCTCTTTTGTGGAAATTTTCCCTGAATTGGAGATCACCAAGATTATGTGGTCTTTTTTCTACCAGGATAGGACAAACTTGAACAGTATTGAAAAACTCTGAAGCAGGGCCTTACCTTATCCTAAACCTTGCACAAACATGTCTAAAAAGTGAAATCCAAATGAAATGATCCAAAGATGAAATGCAGTAATGATACGATGCTTAATATAAACATCTATTTCAATGTTTACTCTAAATTGAACACAATAAGAGCAAATGCTTGTGTAAATTGCAAGCCTCTGTTATCTCTAGTTCTTAAAATCAAATAATCAAGTTTATTCATACTTTACCTTTGTTATTAAATAACACTTGACATTTATTTTGTTGGCTGTTAACACATACACACACACAGAGGCACATACACTCCTGAGAGAGTAATGGAAGAACATCAGTTCAGAATATTCTGTCTGTGTGAAGCCTATTAAGACACTGTCTCTGGGGCCCTGAGACCCTGGGCTGCAGAAATGGTTGCTATGGAAACAAATTTGCCTCAGCATTTCTGACAGGGCCAGACCTCCTGACTAATATGTCTTCAGATAAGCTCTAGTGTAAACAGCCCCTCCCCCTCATACTTAATTTAAGCTCAATTCTATGAAATATAGATTAGAAATTACAAAGGAAAACACAATATTCCATATGCAATTTATTTTACTATAACTTGGTATTTTTTCATATTCAATGATATAAATTTGAATGGGAATTCTGGTAAGTCTATTAATTTACCTTTGGCAGAAACAAAAGATTTCAAAATATTTACTAGCTTCTCATTTACATAGCTTTTCTTCTTTTTAAATCCTGTAGCATAAGTATTTTAAAAACAATACTCTTAAACAGATGTGTTTTAAAAGTTAACTGATAATGATTTGATTGACATTATAGCTTCTTTAAGTGAATAATTACTTAAAAAGAACAGACTAGACATATATTTTGTTTTAAAAAATATGATTTTTGGTCATGTGAATGATTTATGTTCAGATTTCAAAAATAGAAAATGTCCTAAAGTGCATTATTTTATTTATAATATAACTCCTTGAAATTATAGCATTCTGCAATGTAAACAGTAGAGCAAAGAATACCAAACTCTATTTTCACATACATCTAAATTTGTAGCATTACGTATGACCCTTATGTGTGTGGATTAAACCAGGGCACTTCCAACACATAGCTCATGCTTCCATATAATTTTTTTTTATTTTTATTTTTTTTGTGGGACCCTCGCCGGTGGTGCTGCAGAGGCCCCGGGCAGCCTCGCAGCCCAGTGCTCAACCGCTGCGCCACCAGGGGAGGCCTTTTCCATATAATTGTTTTTAAGAACAAACTTAAAGGTATTCTTTCCCCCACTACCAATTTAAATGATCTTCAGCTGAGAGAGAGTAGCTACCTCATGTCAGCAGTGGAAAATGCTGCCATAATTCCAATCTCACCAGTTTCTCTCAAGACTCCTTTTTGAAATTAACATTTCGTCAGTAGAGTTTTACATTTTCTTTCTTTTCTTATTAAACAAACAGTGCCCATTAAGAAGGCAATTTTCAAAATACCAGGGGTACCCCATGGTCCTGTGCATCCTGCATCATCATCTGCACAAGGCAGGGCCCCGCAGAAATGCTACCTCTCGCCCTGTGTGCACAACGCCTGGAGCACAAAGCAGACGTGGTGGATAGGGACTTCCAATCCACTTTCCCCAGTGTAGACAGAGAAGGGTAAAAAGAAATAAATCACAGAGTTGCGTTACCATACTGAAGAGATGAGTGATTTGATGTCCTAAATTCCCTGGTCCTTTCAAAATGTCTAATATAGACAGTTCTTTAATAGCCTTTGAAAAACTATAATTGGCCACACACTATTATTTTTTCTCCTTATACATGAGTTCAAAAATAATGTGATTTAGATTCTGCCTTGGGCTGAGCTCTGAGGGCTACATTTCCCTTCAGTTAGAGGTTTTAGTGCAGGTTCGCTTTTTAAAAAATTAGACTCTGGTTAGTATTGAGGAGCCTAGAACACAGGCTCTGTGTGTCTAAAGCTAAGAATTAAGCAAGACCCCCATATTTGGCTTGTACCAAAACAAAACCAAACCCCAACTGGTTGCCATAGCATGCTGGCCTCGCTGAGTGTCCAATGTTAAAATCCGAGACCGGTAATTGCAGTCAATGTCCAGGAAAGATTTCTCCAGGCTCTTCACCCTGTTGATACCTGATTTAAAAAATCAACATTCATAGAGCTACAGCTACATTCCCTGTGTCCCCTGCAGGTGATCCAGGCCTTGTCAGGATCAAAATTCTTTGTTAGCTGAGGATGTCTTAAACACACTGTCAAATAGATGTTTATTCTGCCATTCTGGGCAGATGCAGCTTCCATCTACCTGAGAGCTGAGTAGGTACAATTCAGAAGAGGAGGGAAAGGTGCAGCTCTGTGGGAAGGTCACAAGAATGGCCAAGGCAGCAAATAGGGCTCCGATGCATGTTCCCACTTGACTGGGTCCAAAGAGAACACAGACCTGCACAGCAAGTTCGCTCTACAGAGTGAAGTCCTGAGCTGGTTTTATCACAGTTAGAGAATGATCTCTTGCTGTTCAGTTTTCCAGGGAAGAACAGTGTATATTCTCTGTAGATGAGTGTGTCTCAATGTAGTGGCTCATCACTGCAAGTGTTATAAAGTTTCCACTACTGTGTGTGTGTGTGTGTGTGTGTATGTATGTGTACATGGGTGTGCACAAGCATGGGAATCTTAACTTTCTTTTACGAAATTCCTACATCAGGGTAGGATTTTTTCTTCCATCTAGCTATTTCTAAGGCAAGCAATTGAAACTGGAGCCAACCCCCGTGGCCTAGGGTGGAAGGGCTACAATGATTTGCAGGTCCAGCTCCACGGCTGCCTTCCAGTCTCCCCACAGGTACTATTTACTGGGGAGGCAGGTAGCAAGCCCTTCTCCTTCGCGGGCGTTGCCCCCTCACATGGACTTGGAATCAGTGTCTCTCTTGCTGATCAGCACTTCCAAAAGCCTTAGTTTCGCCTTTATGTGCTTATATTCATTGTATTCTTCAGCCATAGGTGTGCGGTCTTCCTTCTGCACATTTCTAGTGAAAACAAAAGAAAAGGAAGCTGAGGGTCACTGGCTGTCTCTCTTGGATGCTACTGTTCATCTGGAGGGTTAGCATCATGGGGAAACTGCATTTTACCCACCCCTGGTATTAGTGTAACCAAGCATAACTTAGGTCAAGACAAGCTGGATTTAGACAAGTAGGAAAGACAGTGTTCCCCAGAAGGCACCACGTGACTTGAGTTTTAAGTCAGTCTGGCATTTTGTAGAACGACACAGAGAATTAAGAAATGTAGGAACTTTCTCTGCTGCTGGTCATATATGACTTCACATTAAGAGGCTGTACACTGAAATTCTTTGTTTATACTTAATGGTTTCTCACTTTCATATATATTTCATCTAATGAACCATTAAATTTCTAATTAGTAATTGGAAAACCTATAATTTGCAGGTTTTAAAAAAGTGAGTAGCTCTACTTATAAAATTAGTCTTGGACTTTAGCAAATGGATCACATAATACTAAACAGACCTTACAGTTTACTAAGCAATGTTATATGCAGCATATTTATTGAGAGTGTATTACAGGTCACGCGCTGTAATCCTCTCAGGAGCTGGTGCTGCTATGGCCCACATTTTGCACACACTGAAGCTAAGTTCCCTGAGGACTCTACCAATGTGCAAGGTGGCCCTACTTTTCACTGCATCCCAAAAGGCATATGACCAACACTCAAATATCAGGCTTTCTTTTCTTATTAAAGAACATATATAGAGAAAGGGATGGCGTGGGGCTGACTTAATTCTGTTCACTAAAAACAGATCTTCTGTCATTGAGACCCTGTCTTGTTCAAGGACATAATTCCAGGAGCCTTCTCAGTGAAGGGCAGTAAAGGGCACAGGTGCAGAAATCCGAGTGTCTGTCCCCAGCCCTGCCATGTGTCAGTGGCTTCTCTCCCCTTGACACAGAATGACTGAGCCAGATTTCACAGTTGCTGGCGTCCTGCAGAATTCTAAATGAATAATTACTAATTCCCATCAACTATACTACTAAAATTGTGACATTTATGTAATTATATATAGTCCTTCATGTATAGGTTATCTGTATATAATGTGAGTATAAGAAAAAAAGATAAACCAGATTCAAATCAGAGGTACTAAATAGAAAATTATACAAGTTACTGAAATAAAATGTAATACATTTTAATGCCAAAGTTAGTTTTATGGTGTTTTTATTTCCCAATACTTTTAAGAAGGATAAAAGGGAACTTAAAGGAAAACATTCATATGGTTTAAATAATGTGGATTAAGAGAAAGTCAATTAAAAATGATAAAATCTAACTCTAATGTAAGAGATGCAAACCTATTCACTGCCCTAAGTTTGTCCTGCACTGTGTGAGGCCCTGTGTATGCAGCCACTGGCGAAGGGCGGACGATTAGCATATAGGTGACTGAGAATGTTACATGATGCCTGAAACTTCTGTGGAGAAAGGAACCCTATCAGACAGATGGACTTATTGCTGCTTGTATATTTTTTCACTCATACTTAACAATTATCAGCTTGGCTTTGAAAATGAGCAAAATTTAGAATTCCCTTATTTCTTCTTTCAGTTTAAGACAAACATCCACGCATGCATATACACATAGCAGTGCTATCCACTGGAAACAGATCCAAGCTGCTTATTTTAAATAAGAATTTGATGTGACAGGTTAGTTTTATAAATGTCAGCTAATTCTGCACAAACTTTGGACACTATCCAAGAAGGATCTCTTCTAAAGAACTACACAAACCTCAGGACCTCACAGGAAACCTCAGAGGGCCCTGGCACCACCCCAAGAACTAGGTTCTGGAAGGACCACAGTGGTCCCACTTTGGAGGCACTGCACAGATCTGGCAGAAAAACAATGAGGGATGTGTATGCAGGGGCAAGGAATGGGGGAAGAAAAGCATACAGTACCTTCCATTTTGTCTGAAAAAACTGTCTTCAAAATCACGTAGTTTCTTTCGAATCCTTTTCTTTTCTTCTCTCATTTCCTGGAGGTGTTCCAAGAGTTCTGGTCTAGGGGATAGAAAGATATCAAAAAAACTGAGTTACATTTGAATTGTTAAAAACATAATGAATGTGCAACTTACAGCGGCTGTGGAAAAGGGGAGGCACCTAAATGCAAAACTGTTGAGGGAGCTGAACCAGCACAGAGGGGATGCTCTCTATTCCTGGGCTGCTGGTGACAGTGATGGTGCTAGGGCTCCTGCAAGAGCTCTGTACTAATGAATTCATAAGGCTGGTGGAGCCCCTAAGCTCTGTCATATGTTGCTTGGAGAGAGATGTCTTCTATGTGTAAAATAAGGGGATGAGGAGTACATAGCCATGCTATTGAGAGGAGCCTCTGAGAGGCCATAGAGAGGAGCCTCTGATTCTTTAAACAAGATCTTAGATGTTCCCTTGAATAACATGGGATGAAGCATGTAATGGAATGAAGCTAAAAGCTAAAAAAATTCAGTTTTATGCACACAGATACATTCCAGGCAAGTCACTGGTGTTTTGTCAGCCAATTCATTTAAATACAAAGGCTAACACAATATTTCAGAAAGCTATTTGCATTGACACATGTTAATAATACCACCAAATGCCATACATTGATGCAGCATGGAGATTTGAGAGTCCAGTGTCCTGGCTGCACTTTGATATTTTGTCATCCATTGGGGAAATAAACCCATCAGCATCATCTTCAAATTGATCCAGAAAGCAACGTGCACTAAAATCAGTTTTCAGAGTGACCGAGAAGTCTGGCTTTGTATTGCTATCATCCTCAGAACCATCCTCTTCTTCCTGGGGATACACAGCAACCCCAATAAAAATCTGGTTATTTTTTCCAGCATTATTTCATTATAAATATCTTCTCACAATCATTCAATTATCCAGATTCCAAATAGCTTCTTCTGTATCTATCGCTATGTTTAGGAACACATAGGTACATTATGGATATATTATTGAACCTACATGTACATACTAATACCACAAACATTAAACATTGCTACTTACTAGGGAAAAGTCTATAAAACCTCTTCAAAAGTTAGTGTGTAGTTCAATGAACAGTTATTAAAGTCAAGAGTAGGAAGGTACAACCACCGTAACTTATATTCTAAATCAAATGAACCCAGCTCTGTGCCAATACGTAACAAAATCCGCAACCAGTAATCTGTGCTTTAAGATTCCATGACTTGTAATACCTCAGAAAATATTTTTCACTTTGCTATAAACATTTTTAGGAATCAAATAACACAGACTTTTATTTAGGCATTGAGATTATAAAATAGTTTGTGGTTAGCTGATATATGAAATTTTAGGAAAATTTTGAGAACAAAATATTGATCTTCCATGACAGGAATCATAGGACTTATAGCTTTTTCATGGAAATTTCAAGGACCACATTATATTTCTCAATATCCAACAGTCTAAGAAAAGTACTGTTCTTGGTGATGATGCACTTAGAAAAACAATGATGTAATAGCTTGAGTCAATTTCAAGCTCTGTCATTTAAGGAAGAAATAACACCAAAGCCTGAATTAAAAAAAGGTAATTTACCACTAAAATATGTGGTCAGACCAAAAGAGACTATCCTAATGTTTATAAAATTACAAAACTGGTTTGGCATACAGTTAGGTAAACAACATGAGGTATCACATCAACTGTTTTAGGTAAACTAAGTCACTTCAACGCCAATGCAGTGAGTTAGTCTCAGGGGGCAGGATTAGTTACCACTTATGGGCGAAGCACAAGTGTGCAAACTGTAGTAGGGTGGATTTTCTTACCATAAAGTTTGGTATGTTTATAATGGTGCCTCTGAAGAGAAATAAATAAGCGAACAGGCAGAACAAAACAGCAAAAGGGCTATTACATAAGTACAATGAAAATACTATAAGAAGGTATGCAGCTAGAATTGGCAAAAAATAGGTGGATTTTCCAGAGTCTCTGCTATGACTTCAGCTCTACAATCTGTTTGCTGGTTCAGTGAAACAAATGTTTCATGTTTTCAATTTAAATTATTAAACACACTTTAAAAATGACAAAGAACATACTTTTTAAATTACTAACTGAAAAGTTCAAATTAATTAAAAGTGTAAATGAATTTTTAAAATTAAATATTTTAAAATCAATTTAGTGGATTTAAATGACTAATTTAAAAGTTTCTCTTTTCTTGGTAAGAGGAAGGAACCATTCCCACCTGTGTTGTTTTTATATCCATAATTAATTGAGTCCTATGTCAGTGCTCTCTACAGCATGCTGGCATGCAGCAGTGCAGGTTAGCCTGTGTTCCCTCCCCCTTGCCTGGACGAGGACGACTAGGTGAAATCACCTGATCTTGAACTCCAGGGTAAAGGGATTTGGGCCTATCCTTTGCTGTTCCCAGAGCTTGGTCAATGCCTGTATATAGCTGGTGCTCAATAAATGTCTGTTAGACAGCCTAGTACTTCGGTTTTAAAAGAGAAATACAAATAACAATGATAAAGGGATCACTAAAACCCAAGACATAAAAATTGAAGTTACAGATAAGAACTAAATTTAATGAAGTTGGTGTTTAGGCCTTATTGGTTACATATCAAGCTCCTGAGAGAACTTAAAAATGGGAAAATGGTCTTGCACATGGTGAGAATGCAATGTTTTTTAATATGGAGTTAAACAGAACCATTCTTAGTAATCTGTGAAATATTATAAATAAATAGACAAAGAGCAAAAATAGACAAATCTTTAAACTGTAGCTATAAAGTTGTTGTGGATCCTGGGTAAATTCTAGAAGGAATCAATACATAGATGTATGATTAATTGAGAAAAAAATCAGTGATCAAAGTCACCAGTACTGTCAAAACAAACATGAAAACTCATCATGTTTCCTTTTTTGATAGTACTGGCATATTTAGATTGCAATAAAAAATGAGGTAAGCTGGTTGTGACCTCCAACATGAAAGCTGGTTGTGAAATTGTTCAAGGGACAACTGTAATAATGTTTTGAGTGAGTCAAAAGCTGTAGGTGAATTTTTGACTATGTGGTATTCTGTACTTCCTCCCTATCCCCATTGTTCAAAAGGTCAACTGTCACTGAAAAAAGTTCAAGGACCTATAATAAGATTATTAAAAAAAAAAAACCAAAATCCTGGACACATGGGTGATAAGCAATCCTTGGAAAAGGAAACTGGAGCCTGCACAGGTCAACAGGGAGACAGGACCAAGGGGCAGCCGTTCTCACCTTGGGAGCATTTAGCAATGTCTGGAGGCATTTTTCATTCTCCCAACTAGGAGGGGATGGTTGTGGCTCAGGAGGTCATCTTATAGGTGGAGGCCTGATCCCTACAACAAAGAGTTTTCTGGCCCAAAATGTCTGAGGCAGAACCACTGCCAAAGATGAACTCACAGTATGATGCCAGCCACACAGTCGCAGCTTATGGAACTTAGTGGTCCGGATCAAGGCCAGGACTAGTCAGCCCTTGTTTGTTCATTCTGATTAAAACATATAGAACAATGTCCAGGTCTGTGTGTCAGTGTTAATGAGTGACATGGATGAATTGGTATATGGTATGAAGGAGATCTGTGACAATGCAGAAAGGCTTGGGAACCCAGACTTATGAAGAATAAATAGTAAGAGGATCTTTCAGGAAAGATTATAATGAAGGGTAGGTGGAAGCTTGCAGGGCAGTTGACTGTAAATATAAGAAGTGCTCCAATGAAGAAACAGTAAGCAAGCTCATTCCAAGCTGTTCCTGAGGGCAAAACTAAGCCTGTTAAGTAGAAAGTAGTACAATAATAACTATAAATATTATAAATTTCAACTATTTTCATTAATTGTGATAGTTAATAGTTAACAAGCTTATGGTAAATACTAAACTTATATAATCTATAATTTAAAATGAGAATTATAAAATGAAGTAAGTTTTTAGTTATTACTGATGCTGAGCCCATGTAAGACAGTGTTTCTATTCCGTCCAATAAGTTTTAGGGGACATTCTTATGTTTGACAGGAGAACTAATTAGATGATCTCTCGGATTTTGTGGTTGGAAGATCTAGGAGTTCAGGATTTTTTTATTGGTTCGATTTCATACACTGCTAGGGATGGTTTTTAAAGAAATCACTTCGATCACTCTTCTTAGCCACAAACACACCAAATTCTAAACTGAATCAAAATTGCCAACAATTAGTACAATCTAAAGCATGCTAATAAGCTTGCCAACTAGAACAAAATTAACCAAAAGACACCACTATTTACAAAAGCTATGTAATCGTTGCAAAATTATCTGAAGTTTTGACCATCATGTGGGCCAGCAGAGCCATGGCCAAAATACACTTATGAAAACAATAAACTAAACTAAAGAATAAGATTTGGAAGGATGTCCTCTTTGAAAATTAAAAACAGCATCATTAAATGAGGCAATTTTTTGCCTCATATTTTGGATGTGTTCAAGAACACATTTTAATCAAGTAACAGTTCTAGCACATGCTTCTTAGAGAAATATGCTAATTTTCATACACACATTTGCCAAATTTCTTGAATCACAGTGATTTAATTCTTGGGGGAAATTACCATCTAGACAAAATTTGTCTTCTTTCATCAATATCAAATCTTATTGTAAGAAAAGAGCTCTAATTTTGAAGATACAATATAGCATATTGTCATAAATTTCACATTTATAGCATTTTCATACAACAAGTTCTATTTAAAATAACATGAGTACGGAACATAAACATTGTCTAATGGTGTAAATGTAGGTACCTAAAGTATTTAAGATCCCTGAGTGGTAAGGAAAGGAATAGAATAAAAGAAGACTCAATAACTTCCAGTACCTTACCTCAGTTTTGAGAATCGGGAAGAAAATGGAGAGGTTCCCCTGGATAGATTCCTATGAGAATGAGGTCCCCATGTGCTGAAGTAATCCTTTCTGACTACAATAAATAAGTGACCACTCCAGGGTTGAAATTATCTCAGAAAAATGACAAGTGATACTCTTAAGGCTCACTTTTGCTTTGGGGTTAATTTCCCAGTGGACTAAAAATAACTGCTAAAAACAATCGGGTTCCTACACAGACTCACAGATCTAGGGGCAGAGATTCCACCTCCCTTTCTAGGAAAAGCAGATCCACCAATGAGAAGGAAATCCATAACTAATGACAGATTAAAAAAAAATCAGAACCTGTATTTTAGTGCCTGCCCATTAGAGCAGTAATTCACAGATCAAGAAGAGACTATAAAATCAGTACTGAGGATTTAATGTGCCCGGGAAGGCAGAAGCCAGGAACAATATCAAAAACAAGTAAGATATTTATCTACAAAATGAGTTTTTCGATGTATACTGCACACACTGCCTTTGTGAATTTTGACTTTTCTATAAACTCAGTAAACAAGATAAAAAAAAAAAGTAACCCAATGAACTAATTTAACAAAACTATGGAATACAGAAAATCCATTCCACCAAACAGGGAGAACAAAAAACATCAAAACAAAACAAAAATTTCTGAAAGCAAAGTGAAAACAAAACAAGCAAACAACAAAGAAAGCAGCATAATGAAATGAAACTAAGGAAATAGTTCATAAATAAAACAGGATTCCCAACATGATTATATGCAGCTACTGATTTGGGGGAGCACTATAAGAAGCCATCACGAAAGGGCCCAATCATGACCCCTTTCCAGTCACAGGACAGAGGAAAGGAGGGAGAGAACTGGCGCCGATTTAGCAAGTGGGTAGAAGCTGGAGCTCTTCACCTTGGTCTCCTTGAAGAAGGACGCAGTTTCGCCCTCGATAATTGGCTGCAGCAAAGGGCTTCTCCGCTTGGTGGAGGGGGAACCCTGTGACAGTTGTTAACAAGTAGGTTACATTGGGAACCCTTTCTAGTCCCACCAGCTCTCCGCTTCCTTTGACCTGACCAATATTTATCACTGTCTTTAACCATATCCTCTAACCCTCCCACCAGAAATTGTCAGGGACCGACCAGAAACAACCAAAGTTCTTTTCCAAGTTCTGCTTCCCTTCAGAGCCACAGAGAGCCAAGGAGGCCGCCTGAGGGCGCAGACAGCACTGGAGGATGTCAGCCCGACACACACAGAGAACACCTGAGGAAAAACAACCGCCTACCCTCCCTTACCCTGCCCCTCCTCCCTCCCTAGTCATAAGCGCTCCAAGAACACATGGATTGCAATAAGCTTTACCTCTCAAAATGGTAAGCTCATCAAGTGAAACATAGGTTATCTGAATTGCTCGTTACTCATTCCCCCTATTTAGCAAATGCTAAGCAGTCCTAATTGGAGAATGAAATGGATTCTTTCAATTTAATTATTTTTATAAATTAGTTTACTGAATTGGACTGCAGGAAATTTCTAGAAAAAGTAGTTTTCTTCAAACACAACTGCCTGAGGTCTCTGGACTCTCCTTATTTATATAAACAAGTTCACTGTTAAAAGAAATGTAACGGCCATCTCTTAGGCCTAGAAGTAAACAAGGAGATTTCAAGCAGGAACAGAACAACATCAGCTAAGATATATATGCATTTCAATATCAACACAGCAGTGAGGCTGTGTGTGCTTATTAAAAAGCCTAAAGCCAGCAGAGGAAGCCCCAGCATCCCTGGAGATGAAGCACTGAAACACAGGCAAACAGTTGCCCAAGAGATGGTGAGGCCCGACAATGAACTCAGGAGCTGGGGGTGGAAAAGCCCAAGGCTGGAGAAGGGAGGACAGTAAGCCGGCCCGTGCCTGAAACACTTTCCCAGACTAGAGGCAAGTTGCTGCTCCCTATGTTTGACAAAACCAAAATGCAGAGTCTAAATCCAAGGGTGGTGGCCATTGAGATCAAATAAGTGCACAATCACTCATTGGCCGCCCAGCCTTTCCTTCCACTTCTCGACATCTTCCAGTGAGGAGGCTGGCTCTCCCGAATCCCTCAGAGGGCTTCTCCATGGATATGATTCCTTAGGGCCTCGTCCCTCTCTTGGAAGGGGAGAGAAGACTATTATCAGAGGGCCCCAGGGACCAGAGGGCACTCTTTGGAGTAGAGCAGCCCAAAAACGCACAGCCTGTGCCCTTGGTGTGCCATCTCTGAGTAAAGGGTGGGGAGTCAGCCTAGTGCAAGTCAGATGGATGTATATGGCCAAGGCATGTTTCCCAGTTAGGGGGAAAAAATATCAGTTACAGATTCATTTAATTTTGGCAAATGCAGCCTCAGAAATCTTTGATAAATTCTTCATCCTCAAGTTTCAATATTAATGGCAGGTTCAACTACTAAAGGCTATTCTTTAATGTGAAAGTAGGTGCGGGCCCTATTAACAGAGCTGGGGCCCATTCAGCCAGGTAACAGCAAGAGAAGTGTGGCACTCACAATAATGGGGATGGTGTTGGCTCGGGACAGGATTTGTTTGACCAGCCGGTACCTGTCATACAGTGGCTTCATAACCTGACGTTCACTCTTGGTTACCTGAAAAGCAAGAATAAGACCGGTGAGAAGCCAACTCTTGGCATCATGCTACCAGCTTCCCATGCACGCTCTGCATGTGGAGAAAAAAAAGATGATTCAAATGAAATCTACCATTCTTACAAAATTTATTTAGCTGATAAAGTTATTTAGTTGATGAATATTTAAAATATCCAATGCAGCTGCAGATCATTGGGAATAGTGGCATCAACAATATTGTTTTTCCTAAATCAAAACTATGATCATTATTAGCTCCCTGCTTGAAATACCCCAAAGCTCAGAGGTCCTAGATCATTTACTATTTTTCCAGGGAAGAAGAAAACATCTATTTTTGTTATAATACTTATTTTGTCATTCTGTAAATAATTTTTTGGGGGGCCTCCCAGGTAGCGCAAGGGGTGAAGCACCGCACTATGAAGCAATCCGCAGCTTCTGCAGCACGAGTTTGATCCCGGGGCAGCCAGGGAGCAACCCACATGGTGCAGCAGACCTCTCCTGTCTTGCCTGCCGCTCCCCTCAGCAGTGAACTTTGGTCAATCTGCCTGTTCTGTTCCCCACTCTGTCTCTGGTGAATCCTCTCACCCCCACATCTTTGGCTTGTGCCCCAGCTCCTCTATGCATAAATAAATAAATCCTCAAAAAAATAATTTTTTTTACATGTCTCACTCCATGAAACTGTTGTGTCTTTAAGGACAAGTACTGATGAATACTAGGTATTCACGGACTATTCTATCTGCTATAGAATACACTGATTAACTCATCTCTGTATCTCTAAAATTTGGCAGAGGGGGGCCTCCCTGGTGGCGCAAGTGGTTAAGCACTGCACTATGAAGCAATCTGCAGCCTCTGCAGCACGAATTCTATCTGCGGCCAGTCAGGGAGAAACCCACATGGTGCAACAGACCTCTCCTGTCTCACCTGCAGCTCCCCTCAGCAGTGTATTTCAGTCAGTCTGCCTACTCTTTTTCCCACTTTGTCTCTGGTGGATCCTCTCGCTGCCCACATCTCTGGTCTGTACCCCAGCTCTTATATGCATAAATAAGTAAATCTTTAAAAAAATTTTGGCTGAGGGTTTAAAAATGTTTAAAATAAGTTCTAGCACACCTCTGTTTATTGCATTACTATTCACAATAGCCAATATATAGAAACAACACAAATTCCCATCAATAGATGAATGGATACAAAAGGTGTGGCAAAATGGAATATTATTCAGCCATGAGAAAGGAGGATATCCTGTCGTTTGCAGCAATATGGATGGACCCTAAGTACACTGTGCTAAAAGAGTCAGACAGAGAAAGACATGCTGTATGACATCATTCACATGTGGTATATAAAAAAACAAATCAAACCTGTAAAAAAATCCACCAGACTAAAATGGTTGTTACCATAGAATAGGGGTGATGGGGAGATACGATTGATGATACTTAAGGGTACAAACTTGTTTGTAATGAGTACCAAAGCAGTCATAGAGTTCATAAACAGCTGAATATAGATAATAATATAGTACGACAGGTATGTAACATGATAAAGATGACTGCAAGAACAACTATATCATAATACATAAATGTAATACCTTAAATTTATACAATGTGACACATCAGATTTATGCAATTAAAAAAATAAAGGACTGATTCTAAAGGTGAAAGGGAGGAATCAAGCTCAAGTCCCTCCAACAGTACTTGTAGCCCTTTTCCATTTACTGCTTCTCCTCTTCTCCATCTCACCTCAAGTTTTAGCGATAAATCAAAGTCTGTGATTTTGATAGAGTCCTTTTAAATCAGAATCTGCTGTCAGCAGAAACCCATGCACAATGACCACCTACTTTTCTCCAAAAAAAAACCCACCAAAAAACCCAACACAAAAAAATGGGGTTGGAGAAAAAAAAAACTCTGGGAGTACATGTATTTTTCTTTTGAGAAGAATGTTGCCTAAATGGTATTTACAGTCCAGGGTCCATGGCAACACCAGAGCTCTAAGAATGAAAAGTCCACTGTGATTGGCCAGATATCAAATGACCTCTGCTTTCCCTCAGGAGGTTGGAGCATCATGTTCCAGATAGAGGCAGAAAGTCCGACCTGGGATCAGGAATAAATGACACTTCAACTTCCTAGAGCATTTGTTCCCTGTCCAATGAGATACTAGAATTTGGACCCAAAAAGCTGTTCATTATCTGAAAGAGTGATGAAAGAGAGGGCAATGACAAGGCAGAATCAACAACTAATATTCCACATTCGTCATGATAAGAGTGCTAAAATGCACAGTCTTTCACCTGACCCAATCATTTAATAAGAAGTAGGCCTCAGAGAGCAGAACATGTAATGATAACAGAAGCGAAAACTGTTCTTTATTGTGCACCCCCTGCTGCCAAGCCACCTGACCCTACTTCCTCAGTGTTAGGCATCCTACAGGTAACATGTGTGGAATGTCATTCAGTTTCCATGGCAACCCATAAAAGACATCTATTATACAGACCAGAACGAGGCACCAATAAGTCACAGAGTTAGTCTTTGTAGGGCGGCGTTCTGAATCTAGGGCAGCAATCCGAAGACTCAGAGTGTGTGCACGTTGCCACAGTCCCGGCAAAATGGGGGATTCTGTGTTCCATTCAGGCTGATAAATACTGTGGCACACAAGCCCCTCCACAGGTCCTGAATAAGACTAACTAGACTGCTGCCAAGAGCTCTCCAGGCTCCAAGGAGTCCTTACAAGAGTCTACTGATGCCCTAATCTGAATAGATACAATGAAAAGGAGAAACTTTAAAGAAGGAAAAAAATCACAACTTCCACCTCCTCCACCAAGGCTGGGGGCAGCAGCCCTACAGTGGAGAAAGGGCTTCTCTCTACTAGAAGCTCAGTTCTACCTCTACCAGTTTGAATAGTTTCACAATGCATTTGATCTCCAGTACATTTACTATCTGGTTCAATGCCTTTAAAAAACCCAAAACAAAACTTGGCTTGAAACATGACCATTATACGGGGTGCCAGTATTTTTCCACTTCAGGGACAAGCCAGCAAAATCAATCATCATCAGTCCAACTTTTTTTTTTTTCTGAACTTAAACCTGGTAAGCTCAGAACCAAAATGTCACAAAGGACACATTTACAGATTGTTTATTGGGCACATGCTATGTGTTCAGTTTTGTGATAGTTGCTCAGGATTAGGGTCGTCATCAGGTGAATAAAACCCAGAATCCCTGCCCTCACAGACCTTATTGTCCAGTGAATTATTCTGGAAGTTTCTTCATTTAAAAAAACCCCATATTTTATTTATTTAATTTTTATATCCAAAAGGGCAGGTTTATTATAAAGAGGGAAGGAAGAGTAAAGGACACTGTGAAGGCAGAAAGAACTGCCCCCTTAAGGCACAGGCTTGTTAAAAGAGAGACCTGCATGGCCACAGGCAGCAGCCTTGCAGGAGAGCTGCCTCTGCTGGTCTGCAAAGGGTGAAGGTTGGCAATTGGGAGCACCTACGTAGGCACAGATGGGCAGGTGAGTTGCTCAAAAACCACATTATAGATTAAAGGACTATCTGCACTGTATGCCAATGTTGAGACTGGAAAAGAGACCTCTGCCTCTGACTATATGAAGAGCCATTCTGCGAACATGGATTTCAAGCTTTATACCCACTCGTAAGATTTGTCCTGTTGGATTCCTGAAAACAGTGACCAGAAGGTCACTAGGAGTAACTGACAGGATGCCTCATTACAGGAGCTCGAAGGAGGAAAGCTAAAACCTGTCTGGCTACTGTTCCTCCTAGGACTTACAACAAACATTCGCTAAATATTTCCTGTTGTTATGAAACAGCAAAGCCATAATTTGGATTCCTCACACTTTTGATTCTAAACGGCAGCTGGAACTTCTCTACAAATACTCAGTGCAACTGCACTGGGTATAAATTTTAGGGAAGAACATTCCAAATTCAATGCCTTTTTTGACGACAAAGAATGATTAGACCCAGGGACAGCTTATGGAGGCAGACCCAGGACAGGGCAGTCTCCTCACTCTAGGCTTCTGTGCACCATCCTATACCTTCTCCTCCACATCCCCCTTAAAGAAGACACTAGTGACTAAATTCCGGTTGCAAACAAATTTTTCTTTGGATTTCCATTAAATTGAACACCTTCTGTGTAGTTCAACTCTCATAGATTGATGCCTTAAAAAGCTTAGTTATGGTAACCATATATAGTATTCTAAACATCAGAGAAGCTTATTTGCAAAATACTGAACATAGAAAATGATTTTTAAAGCCAGGTTATTTACTCCAATCAGATAACTGAGCCCATGTACATACCGGCCGTCCATGAATACTTTCGTAATATAACAGAGCTTTTTGCATTGCGACTTTCTCATTAGCAATCTGGTCTTTGGTCATATCCTGCATATACACAAAGATAGAGAAATGGAAGACGGGAAAACATTTGTAAGCATTTCAACTTCTTTATTTAGTTAAATTTCCTAAAGTAAAATTACAAAGAATTCTGATATATCAGTTCTTCCTGGCTAGAGCCAAAGCTTACTTTGGAATGACTTATTCTGACCTTCTTTCTAGAAATATGGGTAGAACTGCAGAATCATCATCATCACCTACTTACATCTCCCAGCTGGCAGCAAAGGAAAGTTGAACACTGGGGTAAGTGAGGCCGAGGACACTGGGGCTCAGCATGGTGGTCCCTGCAATGCCCACAGTGACAGCTCACACACACCCAAAGGCTTGTCTAGAATCCTTCTCGCTCAGACAGCTACCAAGCCAACTATGAAGCTAAAATAAAGCTCATTCTGAAATCTGTGCAATAGGATTTTCTGCTTTTAATTTGTGGTCCAAACCCAAAGTACCTGCAGTTCAAATACTTGGCAGTTCCCGCTTCTCTAGACAAGTAAAGATGGGGAAGATGAGGGTGTGGGAGGCTTAGAAAGGTTTCACTCCATTGCCCTCTCCACTGGAACCCATGTGACATGGCCTAGGTTTCGGTACCATGTTGACTGCAAAGGTTTAGGATTAGCAGTGAGCCTGGGACCTTGACAGAATCATCACACCTTAATGTCCTCAGGACGGCCGGCTTCTGCCCGCTTTTCCTGAAGCTTCCTCTGGATAGATTCCAGTGTGGCTTCAACGCTCGGCTTTATGGCTTTATCGACCAACTCTAGCTTCTTTTCATCTTCTTTCTCAAGTTGGGAACCAAAACTCTTGGGGAGTGTATTGCTTCGCTGTCGCATCCTGGGGATTAGGTCCTCCTCAGATATCTTTAGTTTTGACTCTAGTTGAGAAGATTTGCGGGTTGAGAGATTATTTGAGAATTGATATCTGCTGAACTCAAATTGCTTTTCTGAGGTGTTAATAACTGCTTAGCCCATCTTTTTGCCAAAAGTATCTAATTATAATATTAGCTGAAATCCCTAGGTTGTTATGCAAAATCTGAGATAATAACAGTGTCTGGATTTTCTGGAATGTTTCCCTAACCCTGATTCCTGAGAACGCTGGAACTATGTAACATCCATGCTTCAGCCACACCAGTCTGCTTGTTGTTCTTGGAATGTGGCAGATGTTTTCCTATTCTTGTTCCTCGGTGTTTAAAAGTGATCTAACATCCAGCCACTAGCCACCTTTTCCGCATGACTTATAAACCTCATTTTGGAATTGTTTTGTATTCTATGTACATGTTGAGATGAATCTGTGTCCTGAGACACAGCAAGCTCTGAGAGACAGTGACTACATACTTTTCAGATTCATCTTTGTGTCTATGTCTCCTCTAACACCACAGCCAATGAAACCTTGGGATAAACATACAGTTAGGTGCTGAATTACAAACATCATCTTTCTATTAGTGATTCAGTGAAAAATGCTACAGAATTTCACCTTAGTTGATCTGGGTGGCCCTGTGATTGAGACCATGGGAAGACATAAAGTTTCACCCTGTTTATGGAGAAAACTAAGCAGCAGCTTCCAGGAACTTATTTTCCTTGGACTCTTTTAGCAGTGGCATCTGGCATGAGGGGAGATTATGGATTTTTGCACCTGACTTGTTTTACAGAAACCATAGTGCAGAACTTCACCTACCTTTAAGCTGTTTCCGGAATTTGGCAAGGTCATTGGTCCATTTCAGGACCTCGGGATTGGCAGCTTTGTCACTGTGAGAAGGCTAAGACAAGGAAATCTGGAGTAAATGTTTTGGAAAAAGAATAGTTTGCGGATCAATTTGTTTTAAACAGAAAGGAAAGTTGAGTCACCAGAACAAGAAATGAATCAAATGAATCATGATCAATCAGAAAAAACTTCACAAGTGTAATTCCATTATCCCTTTGTACCCTGGTTATTTTTGAAGCTTCGAAAAATTCTTTGGGGGGCAACATTCTACATATGTATGAGTATGGACTTGTATGTGGTCCATAGCCCTATCTCCATTATTTGTAAGACTTAGCATTTCAGGTTAACAGACTAGAAAGCGTAAGGGTTTATGTTTTACACTGCAACTATCATGAAAAATGCTTTTTGCCACTCTTGTAAGAAATACTAAGGAGAGAGCAGAGAGTAGAATGAGGTCAATACTAAGAAAATTTTCGAAAGTGATCATGAGTTTTAGTTGGAAGATTTTATTTAATGACTTCCGATTACTGTTCAGTGATAAATTTATAAAATGCACATGAAAGCATTAAATTTTATTTATTTACTTATATTTCAAAAAGATTTATTATTTTTATTTATTTATTTATACAAGCACTGGGTACAGCTGGAAGCGCGGGAGGGTGAGAGAATTCACCAGAGCCAGAGCGGGGAGCAGAGCAGGCAGAAGGACCGAAGTACACTGCTGAGAGGAGCAGCAGGCGGCAGGAGAGGTCTGCGCGCCATGTGGGACCCTCCTCAGGTGGCCGGGGAGCAGCCGGGGATCAAACCAGAGATGGAGAGGCTGCGGGCAGCTTCGCAACCCGGTGCTCAACCACTGTGCCACTGGGGAGGCCCTCAATTTTATTTTTAAGGATACACTTCTGCAAGAAAAAATACCAGTGCATGTTTTCAGTTTATCAAGGTTTACTCTCCGGTCATTATTGTCTTTTAGTTTTGAGAATCTCTAGAAATCTCCCTTAACTTTTCACTTCTCTGAGTCATTGATTTGCTGGCATGTTGGGGAGGAAAAGAATGGAGACAGCCTGGGATGGGCACTCACCCTATACTTGCGCTCTTCTTCAAATCTGTCTTCAAATTTTCGGATCTTCTTTTTAAGGCTCTGAATCCTTCGAGTGAGCTGGGCGGGTGTCAAGTCCTCCTGCTCATCTTCGTAGGACCCCAGAGAAGAGCTCCGCCTCCTGTTAGGGGTACAACTGGGGTGAACTCCCCTATGAGTGGTCACTACTGGAGGAGCTTGGGGATGAGGAAAGCAGCAGGGAGGGATGGGCTGGTAGCCTCTTGAATAAATGAAAGGTGACTGCCAGCTCACTTTGTGACTGAGTTCTGCAGGTCCCACCTGTTAAATAGGTCTAATTTTCTGAACTGTGGAATTTCAGCAAAGGCTGAAATTGAAATAGGTGCTGCAGTTCCTCAAAGTTAAATTTGAGAAAGCTTGGGAAAGGAGCGTCTATTGGAAATTTACTAAGCAATATTACAGTTCAACTGCAATACAACAGGATGTGTTCCAGGATGGGAGCGTTCAAACATGTTCCTCCACAGACTTCCATCTGAATTAGAAAAATAATCACTAGCCATCAGTCCCATTCCAACCCTTTCCAATTTTACAGGCTGATGCATATGCTTATCAGTGACCCACAGAAACATACCTCATGAAAGAATGGGAATTGGGGGGCGAAGGGGGGACTTCCGTGTCATCCAGGTATTGCCTACTCTGCCCGTAAGCATAGAAGCGAGGAGAGAGCATGGGGTCGCTGTCTTCATCCAGAAGCTGATGGATCAGGAGCCCAGCCTGGGGGGAGAGGCGCGCCTCGTCAGAGTCCACGTTCTCCTGCTGCCACGAGGATAAAGTGGTGGTGGGCTCTGGAAAAGAGTGTGGGAAAGGGTCAAAATTGTTCTGGGTGCTTTAGGTGGCAGTGATTGAGGTGGCACTGAATGGTTTCTCATTTTAGAGTTAAGGCTAGGGTGCACGCTCTGACTGGAATCACTAACATATCAGGCAGTCATCATCTAACCTTCATTTCCATCCTCATTTGCTTTCAAAAGAGAATGTGTTAGGTCTGGACTGGGAAACAGCTTTGAAGGAGAGCTAATACTGTATGCTTCCAATTTCTCTACAGATCACTGACAATTTTTCCACCCTGAGGACATCATTGAAAAGAGAAGCAAAGGGGCCTCCCTGGTGGCACAAGGGGTTAAGCACAGCACTGTGAAGCAATCCACAGCCTCTGCAGCATGAGTGCAATCCCTAGCCAGCCAGGGAGCTACCCACATGGCAAAACAGACCTCTCCTGTCTCACCCACCGCTCCCCTCAGCAGTGTTTCAGTCAGTCTACCTTTTCTGCTCCTTACTATGTCTCTGGTGAATCCTCTCACCCCTGCACCTCTGGCCTGTGCCCCAGCTCCAGTGTGCATACATAAACAAATCTTTAAAAAATAATAAAAAAAAGAGAAGCAAGTATGCCAGAGAAATATCTGGCATCATGGCTATCCATCCTTCACTGAAACAGCTGAGGGATCACAGTAACTGAGAGAGTCCACTTATGTAGGAGTTTGCAGCTGAGCTGAGGTCATCTAGTGAGCTATTTCTTGTGCTGCTTAGTGTGTCGGGATTAGCACGTTTAAAAGGTGCATGCTTTGCATTTAAAACCAGAGGTTGCTCAAAACTACAGTTTAAGTAAGATGCTAGTGTAAGTAAGTTAAAAACAAAAAAGAATGCTTACAAGAACCAAATCGGTATAAATTATTTTAGGCTATCTTCAAGAACAAAACATATTCAGCATAAAATCATGATTTATCATTTTGGGGGTACACAGGGCGATATTTCTATTTATTGCAAGGCCAATCTCAATATATTCCCTTCCTCATCAAAAAAAAAAAAAATCCTACCAAATTTTAAAGATAGCCCTCAAATGATGAAGAGTATTTTGTTCATAATACTCTTTGCATTAAAAAATAATTTTTTTAAAAAAAAATTTAAAAAAGCCCCTCAAGCAGCAAAAAAATAAAGTTACCTTATAAGTATATACTAAAGGATTTATACAAAACTAGAAAGTTGGCCATGACCTTAAATTGTGGCATACCTAAAGTCTGAATCAGGGAACATTTTCTCTTTTGGCTATCAAACTATAAAATCTATAAAATTATCTACACAATGAGTGCTTACTCAGTATTTTATTTAACAAAATCATATTATAATCATAGACTTTAAGAGTTGGTTGTAATTTCCCATATCATCTCATCTGGTGATTTCTTATCCCTGGCTGCACATTTAGGACACAGGGAGATATAAATAACTCCTAATGAACAGGTGCTCACACCATCCAATTAAGCAGAATTTTTAGGTGATAGTTCAGATATGCAAGACACACACACACACACACACCTCACTCCTCACTCTTAAAATTTGTCCAAGTGATCCTTAATGCAGTCAGATTTGAGGCCCACTAATTAAACCCAACAGATTACTGATAAAGAAACTGAAACCCAGTGAAGTGAAGACCAAATACCTAATCAATGACAAGAGCTGAGACTAGAAACTAAATCTCTCGACTTAGGGACAATGCTTCTATTTAGAATGTGCCAAGTGCTCAGCAGCAAGATGACTCTGAAATGTTTCAAAACCCCACAGTGCAGGAGAGATAAGTACATTAATTAAAAAAAAAATTAACTTCATGTGGAATGTGACCCATAGGTCCTTAAAAGAGAACCAAGTTAGCTGGGGACACAGATGATAAATATTTTGAAAAATGAAAAATGAAAGCTGTGTTAAAGACAGAGTCTTGCTTCGAGAATTTCAAAGAGTGGCAGAGAATATGTGGGTAGATCAATTTGGCTGAAGCTGGAGGTGAACAAAGTTGCTTCATCATGTGTTAGAACTCTCAGCTGGCTTCTCTCAAGTGGCAGGGCTCAGATATGAGAGTCCAGAGCTGCCAACATAAAAGAGAAAATGAACTGAGATGTGAGCAAAGAAGAGATGGTGAGTGAAAAGCAGTCCCTAGAAAAATAATGAGCATGTAGTATTTGAAGGTGAAACTATTGAATGGATCAGATTGCATCTTCTATGTCATATTTCATAAGAGAGCAATTTTCTGTAAAGACTAATGTCAGTGGAGTGAGGACAGAGAAATGGTTAAGAAAGCCTGAAGAGTAATGCAGCAGGCACTAACCTCACAGCGGCAAAGGAGCAAAAAATGTCACAGGGAGGACAAGCTGGCTCGTTGGGGACAGAGGGCATCAGTCAAACAGTGTGATGTTGATATTGGCATATGGGTGTGCTGGCTTATTTGACATTTCTACTCATCAAAGCTTAGTTTGAATCCTGTAATTTGTCTACATCGGGCAGAATGTCTCTTTAAAAATGTTACAAAAATCTTTATCTGTTATGTAGTCTCTGTATACACAAAATTGCAAAAGAGTGTGTATCTATGACCATTAACCAACATGTCTCCATTACAAGTTACACCGTGACCCTTAATTAGCTATGACATACTAATCATGGACATACTAATCATGGAATTGAATTGAAGTTCATTGATGCTTTTAAGTTAACATGGGACCATTGTTAACACAGTCCCGTTTTGTGGTTCCATTCTCGACCAATTGCTTCATGATAAGGTAGCCACATGCGCCATTCTTCTAGTGGTATATATGAAATACAGCTGAGGAAATTCAAGCTTACAAATGACATTTTCTCTTAAAATTTATAATTAGTGTGAATGAATTCACTTCTTTAAAAATGAGAATTGTAAATCACTAAGAATTTTACCGTAACAAATAAGAAGGCATGTTTCATCATCAGACTGCATGTGAAACTGAAGAGAAATTTCTCACCTTGCAACATGAAATGCTTGCCTTATTTCTCACTCCTTTATCGCACTTTCTTTTTATTCTACACAGTGCTATAATTTAAGGCTCCTATTCAAAAGAGTTATAACATTACATTTAATACACAGTTTAATATATCTAAATAATCAATAGAACTAACAAGTTTTCTGTTTTTTTCCCAATGGCCGAAAAATGGAAAGTTATCTTCTGTTTTGATAATTGCCTAGATATATGAAGTAATTTTTGCCCTTAAAATGCTCCTTCAAACTTGATTTCACCAGGATAAATCTAATAGAGTATCTTAGTGTTTAAATTTCAGTACTTCCACAAATAGTATCCCCAAATCAATATGACTTGGACGATCAGGAACATTTTAATTATGCAACTCTAAAGGGAATTAATAACAAAAAAGTACACTTGACTTGTGTTTCATTTAACTCTGGACTGTACAAACTCTAATAATAATGTCATGCAGATAAATAAAAAAAAAGTGTCCTAATACACAGACACACGCAATTCATATTCACACACACACAATTCACATTCCCAAGCCTACTGAAGTATATTTTTTTCATGCACATACATAAGCTATATAAAAGCATATCTGAAGGAAAATACACTTCACTATATATATACATACATAATGATAAAGGTGGTGTTATCTATTGTCAAAAAGCACAATGAGACTGAACCTATATTCACTTTAACAAGGATTCTATTCTACGCAGCTTATGGAGTATTTAATAATTTAATCTCTCTTTTGTTTTTGTGATAGGATATGCCTCAGAAGTCAGAGAACATGGTTTCTGTATGGGAGCATACACCACAGAGGCCAGGCCCGGCAGGCTGCTCACTGAGCATGGCCTCACCTGATAATTAGGATTCTGCTAAATGAGAGAGCACGAACTATGGCGGGGACAAGGGAATGAACAGGCACACCAGCAGGAGGGGCTTACACTATATTACATGATGACGTGGACAGTAGTGATGGAGACTTATAGCTGGATATTGGTCCCTATGGTTTTGGTAACTACCTACTTCTAGCTATTTATTTCCATTTAGTTATTTTGTGGTAACTTGTAATTCATGCTCCCAGTTTAAATGAGTACGAAGTTTATTTCTTACTGGAAAGCCGCCATTTTGTTGGTTTCTTCATGAAGCTATAAAATAAGGTAACGTTTTAGTGACTGGATTTATTGCTCTCATCTATAGTAAAAATTCAGTTATTTCACTATTCTTATAACTATATAGCAATTACCATGTAACTTGGAAATTTAAAATAAATATATAATAAAAATAATCACTGAAAGCATAATCATGATTAAAACAGCATTGAAATGAGTTCACATAGATTTTTTAAGATAAGCAAGTTCAGTGACAAATGCAGTAAATGGAACAAAACATTAAAGCAGATCATTTCCTAAATTATTTGGATACCACAATTCAAATTCTCCAGTCTTTTGAGATGTATTTTTCACCCAGTAAGCTTTTTTTTTTTAAATTCCATCTATTTTTCCAATACAAAGTAAAATGTTGGTTGGGTCCTTCATATTGATCTCAAAAAAAGTTGTTTATATTAAGAAATGAAATAGTTTTAAAGAAACTATAAATTAGCTTTCAGCAACGCGAGTGAATTTTCAGCTTTATATTAGCTTCTTTTAGTATGGCGGAAGAGGTTATAAATTTATGATTAACCAAGTTAAAAAAATCAAAGTGAGTCACTTTCGGGAGGAGTGAGACTCTATCTACTCCATAATTGAATTAATCACTAGGATAGTAAATCAGCAAGTGACCAATTTGAATTCTACCAAAAATCCTAGCTTTTATTTAGAGCTTATGTTAATGACATGGAGAGATCATGGAATTGAAACACATGGTGTTTATTATGGCTACTGCTTTTTCTCTTTTATTTTGGTAACAGTGGCTAGCATGGGACTTTTGAGGGGGAGTGTGTGTTACTTTTAATATTTGAATTAAAAACACACCTGAAAAGAACAGCCAAACAGTATCCAGGGAATGTATCACTTAAATGAAAACAAAACAAAAATCCTGCATTTTTAAATTTAGTGAATGTACTATGAGCTGGAAAGAGCTGACAAAATCTCAGTTTCACAGCCTATTTATATGAAAAAAACTAGAACATATTTCTTACTTTAAAGAGGGAGATTAGAATAAAACACAGCTTGTTTTTGAAAAGCTTCACTTGCTCAGGATGGGAGGTGCACATGGGGTCACTAGTTTTCACACTGTGGGCATTTTAGACAATATTTTGGCCCTTCATCTAAAATTATTATCATAATGAGTACTTTTTGGTTAAAAAAGGGGGACCAGAAGACAACAAATTTCATGGGCTTTTGAAAAGGACTGTTTTTCATAGTTGTGACTCTGCTGTCATTGTGTTAAGTTGTGCAGTTTGTGCACACACACTGCCCACGGGCAGAGCAGCATTTATTTTGGATCCACTTTGATATATGTTTGGATACACATGTGGATAATAAGAGCAGTTTGGGGAAACTACTGCAATATCCTTCCTGAAATTAATTTTTTTATGTTTTCATAAGTTAATTTCCAATATTTTGAAAAAGTTTTTGCTAAAATCTCTGGAAAAACCAATTTAAAACTGTACTGCAGTCGCACCCCCCGCCCCTTCTCTTTCTTCCTGCCGGCTTTTAATAAGAAGCACTTTTATTCAATGTCCTCTTTGATAAGTACATCCCTTATGTTTGTTAACCTGGATTTAAAAAAAAAAACTATCCATAAAAACAAGCATAGAAGCATAGCAATCCAATACATCTTAAAAAATGGGAAAGAGATTTAATGAAGTCAGTAGATGGTTGGCATGTAGTAGTGGAAAGATCATTATACTGAAAAATAAAATCCTAAATGCAAAGCAATTCCTGATTCCTCTGCTTGGTACAACTAAAAGGCAAATGCATTATATATCAGCACTTCTGGTGAGTTTAAAAGAATAAAAAATAAAAAAAAAAAAAACAAAAACACTGCAAGGTGACACTTGATAAAGGCAAGCACGTTTTCTTCCTGAGATTGAAATTACTCTTGGCAACATTTTAATGTGTCACATTTCTAAACCATGAAAGGATTTCTGGTCATTTAGAAACACAGATACTTCTGCATGCACATAGTATTCTCACACATACATCCCCACAGTTACATGCCTCCCATTAAATCATCAGAGAGCAGATGACCCTACCTTCCCAGCTCTTCTCTTCACACAATGCAGTCAGGTCTAGCTGGGGCACATCAGAGACAAAGCTCTCCTGCTGGTCATCAGCTTCTTGAGACCTCTGCAGTTTGGCATCGGGTATGCTGGGAAGATCCTGGATCTTCATGGTGGGGCTCTGCAATAACAGCACAGTGTCCCCAAATAACCACTGCTCACCAAAACCGAAAAATATCTGCAGTAATACCACTCCTGGATGGAACAGCTGCTGATACACCCAGCACAGAAACCAAAACCATCATTTGATGCCCCCTGGATACTAGCTGGTCGCTTGCATGCAAAAAGCGACCGTCCATCTGTGCTCCCGTAACTTTTCTTCTGTGAGAAAGACAGATGATTTCCTCAGGCTGTTCTTCCTTATAACCACAGACAGCTGACAGTCTCGGTGATTAGTGATTGGGGCTGCGAATGAGGGAAAGGAGTTTACATTTCCTTAAAGGAGTATGGCTCTCCAGATTCTAAACAATAAACAAAAAAATCAGCTACCACTGTTGCTAATGCTGTAGTAGCTCCACGGTGTCTTCTGCACACAGACCACTTTGCCCCTTAGGTAAACAGTCCTGCATGCCAGAAATGGGGGCTGTGCACACGAATGCTCCCCACGGGCTTAGATCAATCAATCGGGGCTAGCTGCACACTCCCAGATTTTCTAAGGTTGTTTTCTCTGTAGGTGTGGAGAGAGCAGACTATTTATGGAGGAGCTCTGGGTATTAAAGCATTGTTGCGCAAATTTAAACTGCACAGGGGTTTGGCGTCTCATCTCAGTTAGCAGTTAGGAATACGGACTCTGGAAAGGAGCCAAAATTACACAGCGAGCAGTTCTTTTTTTCTTTCTTTTTTAAACTACAAAGCCAAGGACTGGCAAGTCAGAAATGCATAATTTATATCATACAAATATGCAACTGTCACTGTTTTCCTACTATTCATCTATTCTGAATAGTAAGTACTCAGCCACACATGGTTATGCTGCCTGGCAGCACCTGCACCAGGCTGGGCTCTCTGGGGGATGGGAAGACCCTCTGTCAAAGGCTACTCTTTTGGCGAAATGATTTTTTTTTTTTTGGCTGAAGAAATTGCATTAAATTACCTCTTTTTCACCTTGCTCTTTTGGCATGTTGCAAACCCAATCATTGTCACTTCTCTCAAATAAAATGATAAGCATAAAGGTTTACTCACACATCTATTTTTCAAGCAGTACAAATCTGTACAAAGGGTCATCTTTGAGAATAACTGGAAAAATATTTTAGCAAATATACCATCATTAAATGACAAAACCAAAAACATCTGGAAATCATAAATGTTCTTACGCTTAAAATAAAACACTACTAAGATTTCCAGCTACTTTTAATAGCTTTTCAACCCACTTTGCTATCACCAGGGGAATAGTCAGGCTTTTTACTATTATATTTCCATGAAGTGATGCATGAGGACTGGTATTTTCTTCACATTTGGGTTGACATGAAATACCATCAATTAGTTCATGATGAGCTTCTAAAGTCAGGCAGAAATGACAAGTAAATCTAGGACTTTAACACACTTTAAAAATGTTACTTGTCTACTGGGAAAGCAAAAAACAGATTATGCATTTATTCCAGAAATATTACTCGCTCCTTGACCTGAATCCTAAATGATCAAATCCTGAATGATCAAATCTGGAGCTCAGCTTTTTAAGTTACAGACAGGTCAGTCACCAAAATGTGTTTGTGTGTGTGCAGACAGGAAGTAAACATTTTCTCAATCAAGACTTAACAGCACTTCTTAGAGATGTAAAAAAGGGAAGACTATCGATGTATGACCTCAGTCCATTTCTTCCTGAGAAAGATGTCTCTAGGCACTAGTGTGGCAGTGCAGTGGAGGAATGTGGGTCTTGCTGACCGACGTCTTGGGTTTGCAGTGTGACTGACTTTTACTAGCTTACTGCTCTGGCTGAGCAGCTTCAATTCTCTGAGCCTCTATTTCTTAATCTCTAAAATGGCATTAATAGTATCAATCTTGCCATTACCACTTTCCAATATAATACCTTTAAAGATCTGTGAGAAGGCACAAAGGGCCTGGTGCATAAGAGATACAAGTGGAAGCTATTGTTCCTCTGCTTCTCAGGCACTATAGAAAGATGAGTGAAAAATGGCCACATCTCAAAATGCTAGAGATAGTTGAAGACAAGGCACAGACACTGCAATTCAAGTGCGCTGTCCTCTAGCAAAGGGCAGAGTGGAGTTTTAAAGGAATTATAAAAAATATTGCAGAAAAGAGTCACTTGTGTTTCTGCCTTGAGTCAGTAACAGCAAGTATGGTTTAGGGGCAGGCAGTGTGGGTCAGAGGGAGGGAGAGCAGAGCTGAAATCAGGCATAAAGAGCATCCTGGTAGCTGGGAGAGGAGGCGTTTTGAGGGACCAGTCCTTAAGTAGAAAGAAGGATGGCTTATGATGAGGGTGTCAGGTAAGCAGACTGACTTGAGAGGCCTCTCCAGCTGGGCTAAATTTGGATTTTATCTGTAATAGAAAATGGAAAGCCATCGGAGGCTTTAGAACAGTGATAATGGCAAAACAAGTGTTTTCCAGGCCGATGCCTTGCAGATGGGGCTGAATGAGGATGGAAAGACCCACAGAACTAAGAGCAGCTGGAATCCTTTACCGACACCAGCCACTACCCCATTCCCTGTGGGACCCGTGTTCCCTCAGGGGACTCATGAGTCTGCAGTGTTTAACGGGATACACACAAATCCTGAAATGCCACAAGCATAAACGAATTTGAAATGGTGTATTTCTTACGATGGTTACATTTGTAGTAGCACCAATTTTAAAGTAAAAAAAATTAAAAGGAGATATTTTTTCCTTTATTTTCTTTCTCCAAAATGTATGTATTTCATTCTTCCATCAACAGTGTTGTTTGGGGCCCCATGCTGTGCCGGGCTCAGGATATGAGGCCTGCAATTTCCCTGCACTGGGTGCTGACCCTGAGTGAACAGCTTCATGTATGTTCAACAGAGCCTGAAACTGTGGATCCTGGTGTGATATGAACACACCACTTTGTGCATTAACAAACTGCCCTTCCTTCATCAGTGTTCAAATGAGGTCTGCAAGTCAGGACAGCAGGAGAGGTAGTGATTAGCACTGTGGGTAGGATGCTGGATTAGGTAACTATAAAACCCTTTTAGTCTTTTTTTTTTTAAAAGATTTATTTATTTATTTATACAAGCACTGGGTACGGTCAGAAGCCCGGGATGGTGAGAGAATTCACCAGAGCCAGAGTGGGGAGCAGAACAGGCAGACAGATGGAGGACACTGCTGAGGGGAGCAGCGGGCGCAGCAGGAGAGGTCTGCGCGCCATGTGGGACCCTTGCCGGCAGCCGGGGATGGAACTGGCGCTGCAGAGGCTGCGGACAGCTTTGCAGCCCAGCGCTCAACCGCTGCGCCACCGGGGAGGCTCTAAAACCCTTTATTCTAACGAAGAAAGTCAGCTAACATTTTTACCAGTTTTTTTCCAATAACAATATATATCATGTATTATATACATATAATAAATCTCTTATTGGTAGGTACTAGAAGTACAAAGATAAGTTTTTTTTAAATTAATTCACTCAAGGAATAATTTTGAGTACCTGCTATGTGCTAGACAGTGTTTTAGACACTGGGGAAACTTTAGTGAACAAAATAAAGTCTCTGTTCTAACTTATCTTACAGAAGAGTTTGGTTAATAAGAAAAAATTTGTCAGGGCTATGGAGAAATACGTAGCAGGATAACACGTAGGGTCTGTTATTTTTATAGTGAATGAGCAGGAAGGCCTTTCCAATAAGGTAACATATAAGAAGAGACACGAAGGAAATGGGGAGTGAGCTATCTTTTGGAAGAATATTCCAGGAAGAAGAAAAGCAAGTGCAAAGGTCCTTAGGTAAGGTCATTTGTACAAATTTGAGGAGTGGCAAAGAGGTCATTGTATCTGGAGTCAAGTAGAGGACAGGTGTGCTTACAATATGCAGTGTCACAAAGGGGTATGGTTGACACTGTGGACCCCTGTTGACCTAGAGGAGCCCCTGGACTTACCTGCTGATTTTCTTCACAGCGCAGCGATCTCACCTGCATTGATGCCCACCAGCTTGCACAGCCACTGGACACGCATGGCACGGTCAGCACTCACACATCCACATGCAACTCTGCCCTCTCTGCTGTGCTCTTTCAATCTGTGCCTTTCCCAATCTGGCCCTGCTGGCCTCTGACTCTGACATGGTTGCCTTGCCTGGGTTAGAAGAGTGAGCTGCTGGTGGGACCCCGGGTTTGTGTGCATGTGGGAACTAGGGCTCCTGATCAGGGGCTGTTGTGATGAAGCTTTCAGGCTCTGTATCTCTATAGTAGCATAACACTACTCTTCCTACAAATAGTATGACAATATTATAATTTAATACAAATAATTGTAATACTATACATATTAATACACTTAATATAAATATAAATAAATAGATAGTAAGTATGCTAGTAGGGGTGAGGCCCCTCACTAGGTTGTTCCACTCTCGCCCCCATAGTGCCTTTGATATATCACTGTGCTTGTCTACTCTCCTGTCCGTTACTCCTGCTAGATCATTAATGTTAAATGTTATGGATAATTTCCAATACCAAAATATTTTTGGTTTCAACTTCAATTGTTTATATGTATTATATCTATAGTTAAATCAGAGAGTAAACAAACTATTATCACAATTTTCAACTCAGAGACTTGACCTGTGACGTCATACACTAAATGCTTGTCAAAAATGTTGTGCCAAATGAAACACACTAAATATTCATATTCTCGGGCCTCCCTGGTGGCACAAGGGGTTAAGACACAACCTATGAAGCTATCTGTAACCACTGTGCACAAGTTCGATCCCCAGCTGGAGAGCTACCCACATGGCGCAGCAGATCTCTCCTGTCTCGCCCGCTGCTCCCCTCAGTAGTGTATTTCACTCGGTCTGCCTGTTCTGTTCCCCACTCTGTCTCTAGTGAATCCTCTCACCCCCCACACCTCTGGCCTGTACCCCAGTTCTTGTATGCATAAATAATTCTTTTAAAAATACATATTCATATTCTTAAAGAAAGGGAAGGTTTGGCTCTTAGGAGAGACAATGTGGTGTGGCTGACAGGG